AAACAACAAGTGATTTTTTAATAAAAAACATTTCCTTTTCTTTTAAATTTCATTCTTAAATTGTTTTCGAAATGTGACACTTGTATGCGAATATTCACAATATTCATACATTTATTCAAATAAACAAGTGATTTTTTTAATCAGATATCTATGGTGGCCGGTTAAGGCCATTTTGCATTTTCGCCTTTCATATTCTATAGGGCGAAAACGCGAAAACGCGAAATCGCGAAATCGAAAACGCGAAGTCGAAAACACGAAAACGCGAAGTCGAAAATGCGAAATCGGAAAGAAAAAATATTTCGTGTTTTCGACTTCGCGTTTTCGCGTTTTCGACTTTGCGTTTTCACGTTTTCGCCCTATAGAATATGACAAAACTCTTTAACAAATTTATTTTCGATGGAGGACTATATTTTGTTTCCTTTTCTCCAAAAAATGTATACCTCTCAGTTTTGAATGATGTTGAGGTCCACTATAATAGCATGGGCATAGGAAACATATCGAACCTTCGATGTTTTACAGTACCATGTAGAGGTAGAATTATTTTCTTTACTGATCAGCGGCGGATCCAGATTTTTGAAGAAAAAAAGCGGTATATACATGTATACATAAGAAATTGGACTATTTTACGTTTAAATATCTTATCAATCGTGAGAAACATGAGATTATTATTTTCTTGGCGATCAGAAGGGGACGTATGCCATCTACGTCCCCGTGGATCTGCAATGTTTTCAACGACACAATCAATATACTAGTATATATTTATACAATTATAGACAATTTAATACAATCAAACCTCTATCTATGTATCTTATTTTATGGAAAAGCCTTTTATAATCTTCTTGTTTATCAATACAAGGGGCCTCGGTGGCAGAGTAGTGTAAGTATTGAGGTTGTGAGTTGAAACTCCGCTCACGACAAGATGCGTTCGAATTCGACCTTAATTGACTAGGAACTTCATTAAATCTGCCGAAGTTCGGCAATTCTCTCCGAAAACTCAGTCTTCCTTCACCTTCAAAAAAATTGGCCGCCACCCTTGACATAGTCAAATGTGCACTAAGTGGGGTTTAACACCAACAGCCGAACAATCAATAATCGGGGGAGTTTATTGCTGGGACATAATATTTAGTTAGTATATTATTCCCAGGTCTATTATGACAATAAGATGTAATGATACATGGTCACTCATAAAGTGGACTGAAAAACGATATTGTACCCAGCTCGTTGAAAATGTTATGTAATTAACTTATTGGTTTTTGTAATAATTGATGCCAACCATTGTCAGTTTTAAATATAGACAAGAGATAGTCATATTTAAGTGTAAAATTAGTACATAGTTTAAATCGTTTGTCACAAGTTTTTCTACATTGGCTAGAGGTATAGGGGGAGGGTTGAGATCTCAAAAAACATGTTTAACCCCGCTGCATTTTTGCGTCTGTCCCAAGTCAGGAGCCTCTTGCCTTTATTAGTCATGTATCATTTTTAATTTTAGTTTCTTGTGTATAATTTGGAGTTTAGTATGACGTCCATTATCACTGAAGTAGTATACATATTTGTTTAGGGGCCAGCTGAAGGACGCCTCCGGGTGCAGGAGTTTCTCGCTGCATTGAAGACCCATTGGTGGCCTTCGGCTGTTGTCTACTCTATGGTCGGGTTGTTGTCTCTTTGACACATTCCCCATTTCCATTCTCAATTTTATTGTGATTGATACCTGTGCCATGAGACCTATGACTAAGCCATCTTTTATCAATCATATTCAAGATATCAATAGAAATTTTAGATATATTTCCCTGTTCTGTGATATTGTCATTTAGACGGAGGGGATGGCACACGTTTTATTCAGGACAATACTCAAATTTTACAAGAATCTTCAAATTGTTTGTGTGATTGGCCCGGTTGATTTGGGACGTTTTCAAGAAAATGGAATTTTATAAATTTAATATTGTGTTTGTGTTTTCCTTTATGCTGGTACATCACACTTTTGAATATCTTAGGTCTACGTTGGTCATTTTTTTTTCAATATATGTTTTTAAAGTTCAAAGTCTTTTCTGTCTCGTCTTGATTTGAGACAACTTTAATAAAAGAACAGAGTTCCAATGTCCACCGCATTGCACATATTTTATCTATCCAAGGTACATGGGCAATAACTAAAATAAAAGCACTTTTTTGTTCTTTAAAACTGTTTATTAACATCTTCAGAGAAATGAAGGCTTCAGAGCGAATGCAATGTAATTTCCATTATAACTTTTTATATTTCCAAGGGGCATAACTCTTTAAAAATATTTGATCAGAACTTATTTTCAAAAGTGTCAAAGACATTGCTGATATAATTGATCGGCACTGATTTTTGAACTCTTCAAGTACATTGATGATATAAACCTATAATATCAGTTTCATAAAAATCTGGCAAGATTTGAACACATGAGAGCTCTAACGATGCAATTTTCCATAAAATTAATGTTTCCAAAGGGCATAACTCTTATTATAAAAATAAAAAAAAAATAATTGATCGGCACTGATTTACGAACTCGTCCAAGACATTGCTAATATAAACCAATGATATAAGTTTCATAAAAATCTGACAGGAATTGAACACGTGAGAGCGCTAACAAGACCGGACGGACGGACGCCCGGTATTTCCATGTCCCCCGCAATGCGGTTGATAGTTTTATGTTTACAATTTTTCATTTCTATCATTTATAAACTTTACAGTTTTTAGTCAATTTTTGATTTTTTAAAGATTTTGATAAAAACAATAAGCACATTTTTTTTAAAGGTGAGATGATGTTTTAAGGAGCACTTCATGTGTGGGTGCATCCTTATAGCTTAACGCTGTCATTGGGTTTTGTTTAAAATTTCTGGCAAAAGGAAGAGAATTTGAAAATAAACTTAGTTGCATTGTAGTTGTCTGTATGATTGTTGATCTTATTATCGACTGCTTTTAGTAAGTCTGTCTTTCGATGGTACGGCAATTTCATTGTGTATAACTATATGGAGAATTTGAAGTCTGGTTTTTAATCTTCGTTTTTTGTAAGGTTCATGAGGAAGGCATATTGAGATCGTGTAGCATATCAGATACACTGTTGGTATTGTGATATCGATCTGTGTAGGGGCCTTGGTGGCCGAGCGGTCTTAGTAGTCGAACTACTGTATCACTAGCTAGTCAACACTGAGGTTGTGAGTTCGAATCCCGCACGGGGCAGGTACACTTGACTCCAATCTTAATTGACTAGGATTGTCAGTTTTCCTACCGAAGGTCGGTGGTTCTCTCCGGGCAATCCAGCTTCCTCCCCGGGCAATGCAGCTTCCTCCCCAAATAAAAACTGACCGCCACGAAATAGTACAATAGTGTTGAAAGTGGCGTTAAACACCAATCAATCAATCGATCTGTGTATTAATGTCCTGAATATGCATGAAATATTTGCCACTGGACGCTAAGCAATCAACAATCAATAAATCCATCTGTGTCTGGGATATCATGCAGCTGTTCTTTGCATTTGTTCCAATATGTTTATATTTTCTGATGTGCATGATTCCCAAAGAGTGCAACAGTATTTCAGTTTTAGTCTGACTATTGTTTGGTAAGCTAGTTCATTGACTAGTGATCACAAGTTTAGAGTTATTTTATTTATGTTTTGCCAAATGAATGATAGACTAATATGCTGTTGTGGCAGTATGTTGTAAAGGTGTGTTCCATTTAAGGCCTGAAGACGGTGACATATCCAAATTTTGCAGATTGGACTTGTTCTCCAATGTGGTCATGTAAGTTGTAGTAAAAATGCATTCGTTTTTTCTTTTTTAAGACTATAAGGATGTTACATTTGTCAGGATTGAATGACATGAGCCAGTCTTGCCCCCAATTGATGACGGTTAGAGGTCTTCATGAAGCTTTTAGATGTAAAATTTGAGAGGTAATAGGCCGGTAGATGATGCTGTCGACTTCAAAAAATCTTATTTGGCTGTGTTTTAGATAGTCTGGTTAGTCATTTATGTATATGAGATATAGTATTGGTCCTTGTACTGTGCCCTGAGGAATGTTTGATGTTACTGGTAATTTTTTCAGATTCAGTGTTTTCAAGTTTTGTTTGAGTTCTGTTGGGAGAGAAATGATTAAATCCACGTAGTTGCCTGGTCTGAGATGCCATAGTGTTTTTCAAGTTTTGTTTGAGTTCTGTAGGGAGAGGAATGATTAAATCCACGTAGTTGCCTGGTCTGAGATGCCATAGTGTTTTAAAGTGTAAAATTAGCATTTGTGTGGCACCTTATCAAAGTCATGATTTCTAGATTAGTTTGTGTATTTTTATCATTGTTTTGAGCCAATTGGTCTATATTAAAGAACTACAGTAACATGGCAGAAGAACATGGTTTTAGACGTATTACAAAAACTCATAATCAGATGTACAAACATAATGGACTTGTATGCCAGCGATACTTTAACAGTTTACCTAAATAGGTAAATCAACATCCATTTCATTTGAACTCTGGTTGATAGTTGTCTCATTGGCAATCATACCACATCTGTACAGTACAAAGATTGCTTTTAAATCGAAGTTGTAAATGAATTTGTGTCTGTAAACATGGTAAATTGTGAATCAGACATTTTTCACTTTCATCTTCATATTAGTTTAATACAGAAATGCAGACGTAAGTGACTTATATGCTTGTCACTAATATTAGAAAGAGGGAACACGGTCCATAAATACCTTTAAACAAGCATAAGAAAACCCTTGAATGTCTTCCTAGGAGAAGAAACAATCAGATAGGCACATTGAAACTTATATAACAAATCCCTTTATGACTTAAGATATTGTTTGGGTTAGACAGGTGTTCAGTTTACTAAGATTAATAAATTACTACTAAATGTTCACTGTACAAAGGATTTTAATGGAAACAAATCCTTGACCATTGACTATATGTGTAAATACAAAAGTTCAGTTTGTTTTTTTTTGGTTTGTAAAATTTATTTTAGACAGGTTTTACTTGTACAAACAACAAAAGGCAAATGATAATTAAAATTTATGTCCATGGAAGAAAGTTGGAAAACATAAAAATTCCGATTAAAAAATATCCAAGAAAATATAAAACTATCATCTTTGATTGTGTATTACCATTTCTAAAGTCAAAAATAGAAATATCACTAATATCACAAATTTTAAAATACTTTGAATGTTTTTTAGAACTAGCTTTCATATTTTGTGCATGATGATCTGTTGAAATGATGATTGCTGCATACCAGTAAACTATAGGAGATGAAGAAAACACCATTCTTGTTAATACCTGAAAATAAATAAAGTCATCTGGATTAAAATTTGTATAATGTTAGAAAAGAAAACAATCAAGTTATAATCCACAAAATAGTGAAGACATTTTCCATACATATAAAGACTAGTCTTTCAAGTGTGCATTTTTCTGTTGTAATTGGAGCAACAATTTATCAACTAAAGAAGAAGGTATGAAGAGAGCCATAATTTGCCAATTGGGCCCAGAAATTGCAAAATTAGTAAAATTATTTAAGTCTTTCAATTATGCTAATGAATCAATAAATGAACAGGTTTAAATTTTAAATAATCTAGACATTGTAGAGCAGAAAGGTCACTTGTGATGTCATTATGACAATATAAAAATGTGAAAATTCTTATATTTTAACCTTAAATGGCCATTTTACATGTAGTTTATTGTTCAAAATAGATATCATCCAATGGATTACAGGGGCGGATCCAGCCATTTATAAAAGGGGGGTTCCTAACCCAGGATAAAGGGGGGGTTCCAACTATATGTCCCCACTCAAATGCATTGATCGTCAAAAAAAAGGGGGGTTCCAACCCCCGGAACCCCCCCCCCCCCCCCCCCCCCCCCCCCCCCCCCCGGATCCACCACTGGATTACCCAACATGCCCAAAAAGATATTTTATACACATTAGCATCTTTGAAAATCACATTTTGTAGCACAATATCTTTTGGGGTGAAACCTTTGCTCATACATGTATCTAAATATTAATGATAAGATAGATCTAAATGAGGCTATTTTGGCATTTTTTTTTTGCTGTGTTACACTTAATGTCAGAAGTTTGGAAGACTAAATTCAAAATATAGATTGAAATATAGATACTGATGATTGACAGTCTAATGTCTTAGGGAACACCTGAAGCAGACTTATAATACTTTTTGATTTCAAATTCAGGGGACAAATAAACATGGCCTTATCATACCTTCTCCTTTGTTATACATTTGTAATACATACATACTAAAAAAATGTATCTGGGAGATTTTAAGCCAAATTTTCTGACGTTTTTCATTTATAATTTTGTGGCACTGTTTTAAATTAATAGATATTTTTTTTTTCATGTTTTGTAATCTAAATTTGTAACAAATCAAATATTACATATACTTAATCATATTGAAAATGTTTATTTAAACCCTAAAATGTGGAGATGCAATGTAACTCAATGATGTGGCATGCAATTCAAGAGATACAGCATCTTGTCAATATGAATTACATGTACATAAGGTACATACATGTACTAGGTAATTAGGCACATTTTGTACCATTTCTTATTTTACATATAATTTTCAACAGCAGATTATAAAGTCAAATTAAAATATAAATATCTAAGTAAAAAACAAAATAAAAATATCTTTAAACATATTACTTTAGTTTAACTTTTTAATTCTGACATACATTGTACATACAGACACTGAAAGCTTTATGAAATTAGATATAAGTTAGAAAATCTCAACAGCTACAAATATATGGGAGTTAAATGTATCTCAAAATAATATTTACTTGTTCATTTGTACTACTTTTACCCCTGACTGACATTGGAAGTTAGCTACTTTGTAATTTTTGTACACTTGACTTTGACGAGAAAAATCTTCTGATGATAAAACCATACAGAGAACTGAACTCACCTGAATATGTATAAAAAACCATCCAAATACAGTAATAAACAATAAGTGTGCAATATATGGTAACATTCTTTTGTTTATAAATCCATTTTTCTCTGAGTCTTCTATGTTCTTTTCAGGTATCAATCCTAACGTCAGACATATCTTTGGGTTCTGTCTATAATAATATATAACAGATGAGACAGATAAAACACTCACAGGTAAGGCCAGGATAAAATTTGGAATTTGTCTGAACTCGTAGTATCTCAAAAATCCAACATTCCAATGAGTATTCTGCACATGACTGTATGCAAAGGGTATTCTATAATTGCACCAATCAAAATCTGTTTTGTTAACTAAGTTGTAGCTCCTTTGTCTTCCATACTGAATGAGGAATTCTGGTATTTTCCACTTCCCACTTTGATTGCAAAACAGATCACTTATGTAAAATTGATACATAAGAAAAGGTAATAAAAATAATATCAAATATATCACAACTTTCAAAATCTCTGTCAAAACTAGTAAAATTTTGTTTATAAAGTCTATCTTACTATACAATAAATGTATCACAATATTCTGACATCTTCTATGAAGTTCAAAGCCAGCAGTCAATAATCCATTAGAACGTGAAAGACAACTTAAACTTGAGAACATCAATGACTGATTTCCTTTTCTTTCTTCAAATTTCAACATTGAAGAAAAAGTTAAATATGCAAACAATATTTCTGAATAAAATGCTGAGATGAAAATACTGGCTGGATTGAAACAAAATAACAATGTAGCCTTATAGGCTAAAGATTCTGACTTCAAAATACTTTCACTCAGTCTGTACAAAACAATTGTAGCTTTTAAGAAAATAACTAAATTGAAAATAAATCCTGATACTATTAGAACTGTTCTATACTGCATCACAAATTGCATTGGCCAAAATAAACTATTGGCTAATATTCTAACACACCATGGAAATAATGGAAAAAAGGCTAAACTGTTTTCATAAATGTATCCATGTTCAGCTACATGGAGGAAATATACACCATCCCATCTGATGAATCCACCTAATATATAGTGAACAAATGTGTCCAGTGGATTGTCTTTAGATTGATCATACGGTGGATTAAACACATCTGCATTGTGATCTGGTATCAAGATATTGAACACAACCTAAAAAAAAATACAAATTATTAAACATGTGTGTTATTAAGATCTAAGCAAAATATTTAACTGCCCTTAAATTATGATTTTGATGCAATGTTCTTTGTTACTTAAATTTCTGATTGGATAATTGCAAAATATTGAGGTTAAAGGCCATGGTTTATGTATAAACAAATTATCCATACTAATCAAATGACATTTCCAGTAGTTCAAAGTCTGACTAAGTACATGTTTTTGTTATGGTATAAAAAGTACCAGTAATATTATCAGTAGCTTTGATTTCCATGTTATATACTTAGCCTTGTCTCTTATTTGTGGTCCATTTGAAACTGACTTTTTGCAAAGTGTGACTGTTCAGAGCATGTTATATGTTATGTGTCATCTTTTAGATGTCTTTGGTTTTTGTGCCATAAAGTTGCTGTCTGATTGACTTATACATGTACCTCACATCTATATATCCATATGAGTGAATGATATTAGGTACACAGCTGCAAAGTCATCATCCATTTCATTTCTGTCAAGATTATTTACTTAACTTAGCATGTTTGTACAATCCAGAGACTGAGAGCATTTCTTTATATGGTACATGTTATATCTTAAAATGTTTTTGCCAATTGTAGAAGTTTTTGTTGATTGCAAATCTTTGATACATGTTGCCAAAAAGTGAAGAACTTATGAAAAAACCTGACGTTTGTTGAAGACTGTATGTCGCCCTCTAGATGTCTTTTGGTTGTTTTTGTCATTGGGTTGCTGTTTCATTAACGAATACCCCACATCTCCATTTATTCGAACTTAATCAATCAGATGTATTTAATACTGGTACTTCAAATCAACAAGTTATTATTCATAATTATCTATATATAGGGAATTATAGGGGCACCCCAATATTCTGACACCCCATTAGTCTGACAACTCAATAGTTTGACACCCCATTGGTCCGACATCCCAATTGTCCGACACCTTATTGACATCAAAATATTTTTAAAAAAAATGTATTCATTTCTATATTAGAAAGCCAAATAAAAGGTTCATTTTAAGAGGAGGACACTGTCTTTCATGGGAACAGGTGATGCAAGCTAGGTCAATGTATTAGTACTATTAAGTAGCAGAATTTCATCACCACTAACTAAAAGCACAAAATACATTGTTAAGTCTTGTTGAATTGCTTAAATATCTCTGGATACAATATCTCAGAGATACAGGTTAAAAAAGTATGAAAATAAAGGAACCAATGAAGCTTTGCTGTGTACATTTTCATATGTGTGAATTTCATATGTGTGAAAATAGCTTGAGTGAATAAGACGGTCATGTTTTTCTTGTATACATCAAGGATTTGTATACATGTAACTCAAGCGATAAAATGTAACAATAGCATGAACAGTGCAGTAACTCAACTAAAACTTCTAATCTTATTTTTATTTTTTAAAAGGGGACCAAAAATGTAGCAGTATAATGCCATTAGTTGAAGAACACAAGTTTAGTTTGTATATATATATGGGCACCAATATTTTAGAAAGAGTGAAATTAGGGCAGAACACTTGTGTTGAAGTGTTTTGTTGTAATTTTGCTCTTTTTCAAATAGTGAGTAAACTTGATCAATGATTATCTCCCTTCCAAATAATACTCGTCAGGTTTTGACGTGTTCACTGCACAGGGACTCGGTTTGCAGATCAATTTTTTTTTTAATCAGACATCAAATTTTTTTTGTTTTCTAGCAATGCACAGTTTACTATCCATATCAGTTTACTGAAAAACCCTAAAGGGATCTAAGTCATAATTTTGAATAGCCTACCCTTCTTTAAATGAAAAATAATTAAAACTATTTCTATGTGACTGTATACCTTACAAAGGCAGTCACTTCCTTCCTAAAACATTCTTCTATCAGAAGCATGCATGTATTGATTTCCCTATCAACGACTTCCTTACTCAGCTATCATTTCAATCAGGTAAAAAATTTCAAATTTCCCAGCGAAAGCAACATAACTGGCACTCATGCATGACGTTTTTCAACAACATAGATGCAATGGGAGATACATCTGTCATTACATCCAGTGGCAAATATTTCATGCATGTTCAGGATAAGAACTAATTATTGCGAACAAAATGAAACATTTCCACAGAGTCATCTTCTCTTGGTCAAGGTATTTAAACTTTTGTCAGTTCTATTGTCTCATTGAATAAATACAATAGCTATTGTTATCTGTATAGTTTATTCACAGTTTATTCCCAATTGTCCCACTTTTTAAAATTTCAGACTTCTGATTCTCCCACATGAAAAGTTCTGATTGTCCCACATTATTTTATGATGTAAAATGTTCGTAAATAAACAAGGTAGTTGTTGTTTGCTTTGTTGAATAAACAAGAATTAATTATTACATGTTCAAACAATTATTTGATATCAATTTTATAAATGTATGAAATATGATTTTTTTTTTAAATCATCATGCAGAGTAATGCACTTTGTTTTTGAGTTAAAAAAAATATATATATAATGTTATTAAATCATAAGTTTAATGCACTTTTGATTAAATAATACACTGTATATCATTTCTGAGTTATAAAATATATCTTTAATGTTACGTTTATTTATAAAACAAATATCAATGCCAAAATTTTTAATAACATAATTTTAAAGTTTTTAAATAAATTTTAAAATAATGCTTGCATAAAAAAAGTAACACATCTACCAACATTTAGTGATCCTATTGAAATTTGTTTTTTTTGTGTGTTTGACAAATAAAAACTGAATGGAAAATGACAATGTTTAAATTAAGGCCTTCTTACATGTATTTTTTAACTAAAAAAAAAAAAAAAAAAATGCAAATTTCAATAAGAACAATGTTAAAAATTTTGTCTGAAATCAACTTTTTATGATTAAATCAGTGTTGATATTGAACAGATTGAAATATATTATTGATATTGAATAAATACAACAAAACATACAGTTTTGAGAGTTGATGCATGTATTTTCATTCATTTAGAAGATAATTTTTTTACTCAGGTAAATTAACCAATGCGTGATGGCTTTTTCTTAGAAGAAATTCAAAGGTACCAGTTATTATTTAAAACTACACAGAGAACAATAGCTATTGTATTTTTCAATGGGACAATAGAACTGACAAAAGTTTAAATACCTTGACGCAATAACAATAAATACAAATTAAAGGTAAGTCCAGTAATAGGGGTCAACCAGAATGAAAAGCGGTAATTTGGAAGCAGTAATATTCACTGTAAATCCTTACGATCACTGAATGCCTACATGTGGTTTTAATTAATTTTACATAATTTCATAACATGATAACATAAAATTGAATGGTCCTTGGAACTTGTTTCCCATTAAAAGTGCAAATAAACAAGGAAAGAAAGGAGGGGTTGTGATAAATCATTATAGAATGGGACATACTTTAAAAATAACGAGATGTGGTATGGGTGCCAATGTGACATCTATCCACCCAAGTTCAAATAAAATGGATGTAAGCAATTATAGGTAACCATAAAGCCTTCAACAATGAGAAAAACCAATACTTCATGTATATATAGTCTACTATAAAAGGCCCCACCATGACAAATATGAAACAATTCGAATGAGAAAACTAACGGCCTAATTTATAACAAAACAATTTACGAAAAACAAATATGACAGGCATGAACCAAGGACAACCACTGAACTACAGGCTCCTGACTTGTGACAGGCACAAAAAGAATGTGGCGGGGTTAATCATGTTTGTGAGCACTCAACCCTCCCCTAACCTAGCTGGGACAGTGTGTAACAGCACAACATAACTATGAAAGAACTATATAAATCGGTTGAAAAGGCTTAACTCATCAGATCAATACAAAGCAGAAAAAACATCAAACAAGACCACAGACCAGACGTGGCAGGGTATTTATCCATCCTTCATCCCTGAGACTACTATAACATGGTATCAATATTGAATCCAAAACTTTTGATAAATATTTGGGAATAATAATTGATCAATTTCTAACTTGTGATTTTATTGTCAACTCTATAGTGAAAAAAGTCAATCAAAGGCTTACATTTTTATATAGAAACAAAGAGTGTCTAAATTTTCAATCCAGGAAAACATTGTGCTCTTCTCTGATTCAATGTCATTTTGACTATGCATGTGCATGCTGGTATGAAGGTATATCAAAACAAATGAAGAATAAACTTCAAGTGGCACAAAAATAAGATTGTGAGATTTATTCTGCAATTACATCCCAGAAAGAGTGTGACATATATTGAATTTTAGAAATTGGGCTTTTTAAATATTAGTAATAGAGTCAAACAACTAAGACTCAATCATGTTTTCAACATTTTTAACAATGTATGCCCAAATTATTTACATACTAATTTTGTTAGAAATGAAACATCTTTCAATACAAGATCTAGTAGTAAAAATTTTTATATCAGGAATTGAAGGGTGTGAATCCACCACTTTCTTTTATAGTGGAATAAAAGACTGGAATTCGTTACCAGACATGATTAACAGTTGCTCTCAAAAATATAATTTTAAAGTACAAGTGAAAAAGTTTTTGATGGATAAATTTAAATCCATCTTTAATAGTGAATTTGTTTTTTTATTAATTATACTGAGGCTTTGACCTTTTATCTGTGATAAATTCTTAATGATTTGTGTTTGTATTTCTATGTGTCAACTTTTGGTGTGAACTGGAAGTCTCGTCATAAAAGGATCCCACTGGAAATAAGTTTTAATAACGTTTGTGGGTCATCCTAAGGTATTAGGCTACAGTGAAAATCTAGTCAATTTAAATTTCACTCATTATTTAATCTAGTCTATTCGTATTATCAAAATATCATGACAATTTTCATAATTTTATTTTTTAAATTAAAATTTTTAGTAAACATGTAAATCATTTTAGTGTCTATAAACTATGTCTAGTGCTATATCTGTGTCATTGTAATATATTGTATCTGTCAAATTCATGCCTTTTATCTTGAATAAATATATCCTCGATGATTGGAAGTTTGTTACCCTAACTCGAAACAGAAGAAAATAAAAATCACAACCTTGGAGCAAATATTATCCACTGTGGATGTAAATATTCTTTACTTATTTGCAAACAGTCTGATACATTTAATTGATGAATAGCTTCAGAAACAGGGTCAATCTTTCTATGTTTCGTATTGTGATCCGATTCAGTAAAAATAAGTAGACATTCTTGTAAGTTCGTGACCTTTGTCTTTGACGGTGGCTTTTGCTCATGTGCAACTACATATAGGTCAGGCCTATTGTATTATGTATTTGAACATTACAGAATAAATTTGAGATCAAATAACAAATGAATATCTCGAAAAAAAAGAGAAATTGATACATACTAACTTTTTATTCTCCCTACAAAGATTATTATAATTTTTACACGTGACTTTCAATGGTCAATTGGAAATTTAAGAATTAAACACTTTAAACACGTTTAAGATAACTATAACGATGTCACAATGTCATTAATGCATCAAATAAAATTAAAATTGAGAATGGAAATGGGGAATGTGTCAAAGAGACAACAACCCGACCATTCAATTTGCATTCAATGGCATTATAAGGATTAAATTACTTTTACGAGCCAATATTCTGCAGGTTTTGTTTTCATCAAACTATATCAAATCATTTTCTGGTCTTAAAAAATCCACTCACATACAGACTTTAAAAAATAATACTCTTGGCCTTAAAAAGAGGAATAAGAGGCCACATAACCTAAAAATAGATGATGACTCATTGTTGAGATGTCAATAACAGTGCTGAAAGGATTTTCCCAAGAATTTAACGAAATTCTAGGAGAGGAATAAAACAGTAGTAGTGGAAATAGACGTTTAAACAAATAATATTCTAGAACATACACAACTTCTCTTTTTCAAGCCGATATTAGTGAAAATGCAATGAAAAATATTCGGTTAAGTTTTTTGAAGTAGCACGTTGCTGATGATAAATACTTTTGCATGACGTCACGAATAAACTGGAAATCCCCAAATGTCACGAACTTGCAAGCATAAAGAACTTGCAATCATCGATGATATATATAGTCTCCGTCAGCTCATCCCTAACAACAAAAAAGACACTAATTACATATCTGAGAGTACTAGCAGTTTCTGACAGCTAGTTCAAAGCCAATAACAACTAATAAAAAAATTATGTATCTAAGACTAAAATATCAATCAGTGTCCCCCTCCCCCTCACCAGTACACATCCAACATCCATTGCCATTGCCATTGGATTTAGTCAATTTTATTGTGATGTCTTATTAATAGTAATTTGACGCTAAAGCAAATGAAAAGATTGTTTTTCTTAAAAATTAAATTCAGTTACAAGATACCTGCAAAATAAATACAAGTGATCTTGAAAGCAAAGAATATTTTAAAAGTGTTTCATCCATGGGGGCGTCCATCTTTGGAACTCATCCAAAGTCTTCACATGTCGATTGTTTTGATTGGTCGAAACATCTAAGGAAATGCAATCTAAGTTTTCATTGGATATTAAGACGTGCTGGATATTGACAGCGTTTGATCAGAAAGCTAAAAATAATTTTTAAATTAACTGATGATAGTTCTCAAAATATGGCGTAAATAGTAGGTCAAAAATAGAGTGAATGCAAATTAAAAGGTTTTAAATCTGCAGTGCGAGTTAATATAGATCCAATCCATTGATTGTATAAGCCTAAAAGAACAATAGCAAATTATCTCCCTTTTGAAAATTGTTCATAAAATTTCTGTTATTATAAAGAAGGTGAAACAAAAACCTTTGCAGATATCAATAAGAAAATTCAATTGTAGGATCTCCTATATTTGTGATCACAATAATCGAAAATGATCATATAACTTGTAAACAATACTAGAGACTAGTCTTTCTTTCTACACTACAGGTATGAATCGCTGTTCTATATAGGCCCACTCCTACATAGAAGGATGGCTAATGCCCTATATACAAATATACATCCGCACCCACTAAAAGCTCACAAAAGAACGTGCCACTAATCCACCAATTTATGCATATATATAACGGTAAATGCGTGCTGTACAAATACTGTGTTGTCATTTACATGTTTATATATACATTGTGCATTACAGTGCATTCGGTCAAGACGGATGATAATTAATGCGCTTAATGATCATCATTGCTCTATGCCTAAAATACTTGTTGCTATTATATGCTAGGTGTGCAGATATATACATTAGCTTTATAGAAGTCTATAGGCTAGCACAAAAGGTTAATGTCTTTTTCTTTAAATATACTGTTAATATTGGATATATGCGTTCAACTACAGTATGTAGAATATGTTCAACATTTAAGGCACATTAAAGCACTATGCAGCAAATATGCAGGGAAAGAAAAATGTTAAAGCACTATGTAGTAAAATGTCCAAATAAATAATAGTTAGATAGACCCTTAAGTACTAGATATGTTCTATATATTTATATAAGCACATCTCAAGCGGATTGTCGTTATTATAGAAAGATAAAATGCTTCTACATATGCCTATTAGTAGAGTAAAATTTTGTTCCAGTAATGCAATATAACTAATCTGAGTCAGTTCACCAACAAAGCTGTTCACCCCTTGCCTAACATGTACTTTGGGTCTGTTGCTCACATTATTATTTTGTGTTTGTTTAGTTGAAAGTTGAAATTGATTTTTTTTAAAAGAATCATGCTGAAAAGTAAACATAGGATAATTTTTGGACATAATTTTGTTGTTAACAAGAAAACATCAAAAACAAATTGATCTTGATCATTAAGCAGAAAAAACTTGAAAAATTGGCTCTTATATGAGTCAGGTATAGATCATACCAAATTTTAGTTAAACCAAAACTAGAATTTTTTTGCCAAGAATGGGATTAATATACATACAAAAATGAACCAGTTAAGAACAAGTGTATATCATTAAATTGCCTTATCATTCCAAAAACATACATTAGGAAGGGGGAGGGGTGGACATACATTTAGGGGCCACCTGAAAGACGCCTCCGGGTGCTGGAGTTTCTCGCTGCATTGAAGACCCATTGGTGGCCTTCGGCTGTTGTCTGCTCTATGGTCAGGTTGTTGTCTCTTTGACACATTCCCCATTTCCATTCTCAATTGTATTGTACTAAGTCAAAGGCAGTCAAAAACAAGATCAACCCACTGACAAACTAACAGAAACTGCAATGCAACAAAAGATGCTCAAATTTTCAGTATTTGCTAAACACCTAATTTTAGAACAAACTCATCCAAATTTCAAATAATATAAAAATAATCCATTGTCAAAGGAGTAGCCCCGGTAAGACCCCTTTTTGGCCCCAAAATATAGCAATTTTACAAATTTGTTAAAATGTAAACTATTAGCTATTTATTGGAAAGAAAAAAACTTCTGTTCCATAAATATGGGCTGATTTTGACAATACAATGCACATGTATTGTAATAGCATCATAAATTCATGCAATATTACTGAAATCTTCACAATTTTAGCATTTGTGCTAATTTTAAGGCATTTTTTGTCTAAAATGGAAGTGGCCGCATTTGTGTTCAGTCGTAATATTTAAATATATGTGGTATTTGATGATAATACATTACATATATAAAGGTTGAGACTGAAAACGAATGCAGCCACTTTCATTTTAGACAAAAACCATCTGAAAAGTGACGTTTTATGGCTTACCGGACCTTCTCCTTTAAGGAAACACTTAATTGAAATGTTCCTTTTAACATTTATCACACATTAAAAAATACAATAAACAATTATGACAGCAGTAACCAATGGCAACAATCTCCTGTCTTTAGACAGGTATATCGTGATGAATGTGGGATGTCAAACTTGTTTGTGAGTGCTTAATCCTCATCAGTGGGACGGTGATGTAACAGCACAAAAAACTTAACTTCAAGTCACACAAGTGATAAAGGAATTGACTCATCAGATCAGTGATGAGTATTAAGTCCAAAAAACAACTTACAAAATGACAAAAAAACACGAGGTAATTTAGTATATTGATCTATTAAAGTGTAATCACAGTTACTGAAAGCTATTTCTAGGCCCGATTGCTATAAGTATTTATAACTAAATTGCAATACATGTTTAGGTATATGTTAAAGTTTCAAAAAATTAAAATCAATATTAATACTGATAAAAAAGTCAATATTCAAAGATCGTTATGTTAAATTGATTACCTTTAACATATTAAAGAATAAGATTATTTCAGTTTAATTACAAGTCATGAATAATTAATTTTATTTCAGATAAAAAAGAATGAAAGGCAAAGGGAAGGGAATATCTGACCAAGATTGTCCTCTTCTGTTTCCTGACCTGGAGCCAGTTGATCATGAAACAAAATGTCCAAAATATACAGCTAGTAAGTCAATATTGTGTACTGTAGAACACAATGTTCAAAGTCCATGACTGAGTCATAAAACATGTAAAAGTTAGTGTCCTTCATGCCCAAAACACACTTCCTGTAAAACCATGTTATTTTTAAATGCTGAAAGTACATTGCTACAAAAGTTTCTAAAAATGAAAAATAAATATAATTGACAACAAGAGTAAGTTGATGTCAATGAAAAACAATTAAAGTGTTGGCAAGGAAGGGTTTGTGATTGTTTGTTGTTTGAACTAACGCTCTGAGAATGCCCCTCTTCGGATAATTTATGAATTTAAAAAAAAAAATTGCATGGCTTCAAAATTTATAATTTTATTTAAATGCAAAAAGTTTTAAACCCTTGGAAAGGAAAAGGTAAAACAAACTAATAATATACTAAGATGAATGTAAATTTATTTGATGTTAGAGGTAATTTTCAGCAGGATCTGCTTACCCTTCCGGAGCACATGAGATCACCCTGAGTTTTTGGTGGGGTTTGTGTTGCTTAGTCTTTAGTTTTCTATGTTGTGTTTTGTGTACTATTGTTTATCTGTTTGTCTTTTCCTTTTTAGCCATGGCATTAACAGTTTATTTTCGATTTATGAATTTGAATGTCCCTCTGGTATCTTTCGCCCCTCTTTCACTATATGCAGTTTGTAGTTCACAAAATATTATACATGTGTTGTTGTTTTTCATATAATGTGGTAAATTTAAAGCAATTAATCAATCTATCTATTTATATAATAGTGTTGAAAGTGTCTAAAATTGAATGTCTATTAAGCAATTCTGTACAGTGATATTTGATTAATTAGTTTTAGCTAGACCAGAAGAAGAAGGTATTGTTGTAGAAGAACTAGACCAAATACAAATTGATGTAGAGACTTTGTTAGCTGCTGTGGGATTACGTTTAAAACAGCTAGAAGAAGAGAAAAGTACGCTGAATAATTGGCAGGATAAAAAAGATGGCAAACTTGTTAAAAATGTGAGTATTTAAGAATGATTGAATGATGAGGATGATGGAAAACAATATACAGTTATATGTGTGAAAACAATGTATAGTTACATGTGTGAATATTCTATTAGACAAAATCGGTATAGTGAATTGGAAGTCAGATCACAGCGATATATTGCATCAAATGAAATGGTTTTCATTTTACTTGTTAATGGATTCAGTTGTTAATATCATAGCAATGAAATAAATTAAAAAGAGGTAAATGATCTTTAGGGCTTTTCCAGAATTAAATTTATGGGGGAAGGCACTTTCTATTTAACCCTGCCATGCATAAATGATTCAATGATTCTAGAAAAGCCCTTATTAATTAAACATAAAATGCGTATCATAATGTTCAAAAATATATACAACACATGTATACATGTACTTTTAATTCAGTCTATGAAAACATCATATACATCATAATTTCTTGCTTTAGGTAGATTTTTTTCAGTTAATTTATATATATAATTAGAGTATTCACATTGAGGATTTTTTATATTGTAGATGATTAAATAGAGAAATGACTATGGTTATGTATTCATTTTTTGTCTAATTTTGTTTTACATTAAACACAAAATCATTTCAGTTGAGGTAGACCACTTACATTTTGTGGAAAACATTTTTAGCAAACAAGAAAACATAGACATAAATTCCACTACAGAGGACTGTATACATGCAATGTTTATTCATTAGTGTTTGATTTGAAGAAAAAGATGGCAACAAATGATGCAGTAGTCATTCTATTTACATACATACACTATGATATAGAAGAAGGGTATCAAGAGAACTTCAAACTAAATAGTGTTTAAGCAAAAGTCCATTATATGCAAGATAAAATTTTACCTTTTAGCAACAGCCAGAAACCCCTCCACCATCCTTGAAGAGAGGTAAAACTGCAGATGAAAAACCCAGTAAGAAATTTAAAAGTCAGGGTTCAGATGTATCTGGTAAAGGATCACATGCAACACCTCCCGGCAAACCAAAAGGCAAGATAGCACAGGTATTTAAATAAAACTTGTACATTTATTGCTAAAAGTCGATGTATACTTTTCTGAAGAAAAGATCAACTCAATAGAGCAGAGAAAAAGTTGTTGAAACAAATATGACTTATTGGAATACAATTTGATATGTTGTGTCATAGTGCAAACCAACTTATTTTTACTGGATACTTTATTTCATGTTTAGTCCTTTCTAGCCGACTTTGCAGCGATTTATTTACATGATTTTCATGATGTATTTATGTGAGGGAAAATTCAAATTTTACTTATAAGCGTTATTTTCTACTCGTGAAACATGCGCAAATAAATCACTTGCAAAAATTAGTTGGTTTACAGTATACAAAAAAAAGTGTGCAAATAAAGATGGAGAAATCCTAGAGAGCCATGTTTTCCTCTAAAGCTCATACAAATTAATTTTTTTTTTTCAAATAGTATATGTAGGGGGCCTCTGTTGCAGAGTGGTCTAAGTAGTCAAACTACTCTATCACTAGCCTGTCAACACTGAGGTTGTAAGTTCGAATCCAGCACGTGGCAGGTGACTTCGACTTAATTGACTAGGATTTTCAGTTTTCCTACCGAAGGTCAGTGGTTCTCTCTGAGCACTCTGGCTTCCTCCACCAATAAAAACTTACCACCATAAAATAGCGTAATAGTGCTGAAAGTGTCGTTAAACAGCAATCAATCAATCAAATTGTAAATGTATATAGACAATGTATATTTAGTGTCTTTTTTTATCAACTTTATTTATAAAAGGCTTGAAAATAGGTTAAATGCAAGCTTAAGTGACAGTCAGATAGAATCACTTTGCAAACATCTACTGTAAAGGATCAGTTACCAGCACCTGGAATTTTTATGCCCCCAGCGCGGCGAAGGGGACATTAAGTTTTACCCTTGTCCGTCCGTACATTCGTACATCCAAAAATTAGTATCCATTCTCTAACTTTAGTTTACCTCAATCAAATGTTATGAAACTCATACACAATGCTTATAACCTCCAAACACAGATCAAATTAAAATTTGGGTGGCGTCACTTTTCACCTTCCCTTTTGTAAATTTAAAAATGTTCTTTTGCCGTATATTTACAAGTTGGGGCATCTGTGTCCTATGGACACATGCTTCATTTATTTTTCAATGCAGGATGCTTTGTGTAAATAAGGCTATTTATTGGATAGATTCTTTAGTAATGGTAAATGGTAAATGGTACTCTTACCCATGAACTGTCATGCAAAAATTTTTTAAGAATACTAAACTTTAGTATGAGGGTCTGGATGGGGGGTCCTTCATTTCTGTATTCTTTAATTTTCTAGGGCATTTTTTACTATTCTTTATACCCATTTTTCTCTATTCTATATATTTTTTTGCCATTATTCTCTATTCTGTAAACCCCCATCCACACCCTCTTAGTATAAGCTAAAATACATGTATGGTATACATTTAAAATCATAACAAAAATATATAGCTATCAATCAATGTAGTAGTTTTCTTGTCAGTTACATAAATTTTGAGAGGCGTGCAGTTTTTAGCATCAGGGTCAGTGGTGTCGATAATTTTTGCAAGGTTGTGATAAGGGTATATTGACAAGACAACCCACAGTGCAGACTGTTGTTTCCTCTGCTTGTCTTAATATTTACTTTTTTATTCAGAGTTACTTTCACTCTGAGGTTTTCCCGAAATATAATTGATTATTGATTGCTTAACACTGGGTTACAGGTTTGTGACGTAAAAGTATACACAGAAATTATGCTATTGTAATGGTATGTAAACAATTGATTTTTTTCAAAATTTTGTTTATTTAATATTTTAATTAGACAATATCATATATTTATACAAGTAACAAATTTACACATTTAAATATAGAATAAATGTAAGAATTAATTGCAGCTTACAGACATTTAAAATTATGTAAACTACAGAATTCAAGGGGAAGTAACTCAATTTTTTTTAAACTGATTTAAATATCTGCTTTTTTTCTCTTTTTAATTGACTGAGTCTTTTACTAAATCATTTGTCATTAAGGTTGTTCAAGACATAGGCATAACTCCTAGAATTTCAGTTAAGAGAAGAGTTGTAGAATGCTATAATTATTTGCAACTTACAAGAAAATGACATGTTGATAAATTTGTACCTTTTAACTGAGATCAGATGTTTATAACTGTGAAAATGTACAGAAATAAAATATATGGATACTTGACTGGCGCAGATCCAGGATATTATGTTTTGGGGGAGGGAATACCTGAGATTAGGAGTTAGAAGACCATATTGTGACAAAAAATATGCTGTGATTTTACCTACCGGTATAAATGTTTTTTTTCTTTTTTTAGGGGGAGGGCGTGTGCCGGGTGTGGCCTGTTTTGGCTTGAATACCATTAATGTATTTAATAAAGTGTACATACTGTGACAATATATTTTCAGGTAAGATCAGAATTAGAATTTGCAGCTGATTCCCCTGAAATCTTACCAAGACTACATAAAAATGATGTTGTAAATAAGTTCTGGCAGTCTGTAGAGCCGTACTGTTCTGATATTACCAACGAAGACATTAAAGTTCTGGAAGATCTTCTCAGGTCACATGACAATGATGATGATTACTTCAGAATACCACCGCTTGGCAAACATTATACAGAGAAGTGGGCAGAGGAAGATATACTAGAGGAACAGAGGGATGGTAAAAATTATAATCATTTTGTATTTCAAACAGTGAAGTGGTTTTCAGGACTAGATTTTATCATATATTTCCTATAGGCTACAGTGACTCTAGCTGTAAGTTACTCTCCTGAGTCCATATTCTGTTGTATGATTAAGAATAATAGTATTGAGGAAGTACTACCCAAGGAATCTTTCTCCTATATGGTTTTAATTGGCAGAGCTGTATCTGAAGAAGACAAAAATTCTACAGATTTTCCATAGTCTTCATCGTAAAATGAAGCCTTTCAGTCAGTGATCATATAGGTAGTTGGCATATCAGCACCAAAGTTACAAAGCACAGTGCCTCTCAAGGAACTTACATATTATATTTATGAAATACTTTATGGCAGTCTATGGTTTGTTGGGAGATTTTACAATGGAAATATTTTTGTCAAAACTTCACCATGAGTGCAGAGATGCAGAGAGGGTAAAATTTACCAAAATATGGCTTTTCCCATTGTAAAATCAAGTTTTAATTTGTGCACAAAACATATATGTATATTCAGCTATATTCAACACCCTACATGTATATAATAAACGGATTTTAACTCATTTAGTACTTTTCTTCATACTTCCCACATGTTCTCTGTCATTACTAAATACTATACAGCAAATAAGCATACAGATGCAAACCCTTTCTACATGATCAATCCACATTTATTGTCAACTTTAATATTCTATTTTATTTGTAGGTGCTAAAATGAATAGCAAAACAAGAAATACCAACAATAATCATTATAACAATACAGAAGACAGTACAACATTACTGAAAAAAGCAGAACAGAAGTAGGTTTTTATACGACCGCAAAAAATTTTAGGATCGTATATTGCTATCACGTCATCGTCGTCCGAAGGCATTTGGTTTCTGGACAATAACTTTAGTTTAAGTGTATGGATCTCTATGAAATTTAAGCAAAAGGTTCAATACCACAAAAGGAAGGTTGGGATTGTTTTTGGGGGTGATGGTCCCAACTGTTTAGGAATAAGGGGCCAAAAACAAGCATTTTTCTAGTTTCAGGACAATAACTTGTGAATAAGTATTTTGATTGATCTGAAATTGTACCACAAGGTTCAATACCACAAGTAGAAGGTTGGGATTCATTTTAGGGGTAATTGCCCAAACCGTTCAGGAATTAAGGGCCAAAAAGGGTCTAAAACAAGCATTTTTCTAGTTTTCAGACTTGTGTTTAAGTGTATTGATGTCTCTTAAATTGAACCACAATTTACAAAAAGAAAATTTCTTCAAATGTTTTCTTTTTTGGAAGGGGTGGGTGGGGGGGGGGGGGGGGGGGGGGGGTTAAAAAAAAAATTGGGGAGGGGGTCAGGATTTAAGAAATGGTCAATTTTCGAAAGAAAATTTTGGGGGTCACAATTTATTTTGCTAATTCTTTGTATATAGTCTGAAAACAGATTTACTAAGTATTGTGCAACAGCACAGTGTATTGCACAAAATCTTCAATTGAATATAAATTCAAATCATATAACCAATTTCAAGTTCTTTGACTACATTTATTCTGTGTCAAAAATCTATAATGTGTCAAATATTTAATTACAATCCAAATTCAGACCTGTATCAAGCTTGAATATTGTGTCCATTTTTGCCCCAACTGTTCAGGGTTGGACAGCTGCGGTCGTATTCATCTGCGCTCGGCGAAGCAGTTTATTTTCTCTGAGGTATACTGCTATTGACAAAAATGATACTCTTACGAAAATTGAATTAAAAATTGAAATGTCTGTAAAATATAAATGTAAGAAGAAATATTAGAGATAATTAGCATGATTAGATATAAGAAACATTTGTCTTTCAAGCAACAATTTCCCCTTTGTGATCGCAATGAGATATTGTTAACAATATTAACGGTTTCTAACAGCTATTGTGTCAGTGTGTAGTCTGTACAATGCCTACCTTTTTCTTGATGACAAATTATTTGTTAAATGGGGAAACCCTTCTAGGGAAGTAAAGAATGGCCTGTGATTGCAGAGTACAGATGATATACATAATACTGTAGGATTTTTAAGGATTTTATAATAGCACTTGAGTTTAAATTTTGGGAATTTAAAGATTCCAAAGTATTACAAAAATGATTCTTCTACCCGCTGTTAAACACATGCATCTTTATATTTTACCATTTGTTTGGTATTTCATTGTTATGTCCTTGTCACTATGTTAATCATTCTATCCATGTGGAAAACAAACAAAAGGTGTCCAGAATTTATATCTTGCCAACAGGTAGTAAATAAGTACCAACATATATCAGAAATCATATGAGTTCAAACAAAAACAGTGTTTTTGGAAGTGCTATTGTTTTTTTTATTTAATGATTAGCCCTTACATGATGTAGGTGAAGACATATTTTTAGTGCTGCTACTTAACAACAAAAGTTACTTTATTACTTTTGCTCTTCTTCAAAATATATCAAGCATTTTGGACTTTCATTTAAGTGTTGGTATAGAGCTTCTGTGGCTGATATCTTAGGATAAACATGACATGAAAGAATAGTAGAAATTTGTAACTCGTAAGTTTCCTTTTTAAAATTTATAGCAATATAGATGAATCCCCATTTGGGCCTCTGACACAGAGACTAGTATCAGCCCTAATTGAGGAGAACATTATGACCTCTATTGATGATGTTATGACAGATGTAAATGGTGGGTCAGAGGCACCAGCTATATCACCAAAGGCTCTAGCAAAACAATTGAATATTGGTAAGTATCCACAATTATAGCTGAATATATTACCAAAGGCTCTACCAAAACAATGAACTATTGGTAAGTATCCTAAATATCTCTTAATGCCATAACTAAGGGATTAGATATTTGTAACATTTCTATATTTGTCTTGCCTCCATGAAGTCGAAAAGATGAGACTTAGGGGTGCTGTTTCCAGCAGCGTCAACAATGTATTAGTTTGTGATTAGGTCAGTTTTTAGGGAACCACTAGTGGTAGATCAATGATATTAGGAAGTTGTATAAGCATTGGCACATCTCATTTCCATGTAGATCATTTGGCCCTGCCCCTTAGTCATGATCTATTAAGTTTCAAACTTTTGCATAGTTTACTTGTTCACAGCCAGAATACAAAGTCACACACAAGGATAGTTTCCATAATTTTATCAGAAATCGGCCTGCCTCAAGGTATGATGACACACTTTTATGCAACTTAATATCATTTCACCGAAAAACTGATTAGTGCAACATACTCCACTCTACTTCTGCTTAGTTTTCACTATCATTTGCTCATTTCCACAAGAGATTACTGGGCCATGCACCTTCAGTCATTGTTCATTGTTGAATGTTTTGCAAAGTTTACCTGTTCAAGTACTGTAAATTCAGAAATTATTGCATGCATTTATTATTGCGATTTTTCAAAAATGGACAAGAATGCAAGTTTAATTATTGCGATTTCAGAAAAATCTACATACAGATCTATGTTTTAGTTATCAAAATGCGAGTTCTTATTATTGCGATACTCACCTAGTCGCATTATTCGCATTAATAAAAACCTCGCAATAATTTCTGAATTTACAGTATTGCCATTTAAATTTCAATATTTGCATTACCTATACTATCAACATTACATTAAGGCAAGAAATATCTCTGTGCCAACAGTTTATTGTTTTGGTGAAATGAGCTTCATAGGTTAAATAGATTTGCTTTCATTTTATAAAAATGAGTTAATTCTGTTAACTCCCCTGAAATTGTGTTGATTCCTAATATTAAACAAACAATAATCAATCAATGTAAGTCATGGTCAAACAGAATATCTTATATTTAAGTATTTAATTTACTTTTGCAGAAAGCATTTCAGCCTGTGTCAATTGTCATGTTTGTTTTACTAGAAATGTCCAAGACAATGATTGTTCATGTTGACTCTGTAGGTAATCCCAGTCATTTGGAGAAAAGAATCAAAAGAGAACTTGAAGAGCAGGGTCTTTTAGATAGTGAAGATAAAGTCGATGATGACCCAGACGATGAGATTTTAATGGAACTAAAGCAAAAACAACAAGAACTTAAAACTTTATGTCAACATAATATTAGTATGACTAAAAATATGTTAGATAAAGCAAGGGAGGAAATGAAGAAACAGGATATGAAGAAAAAACTAGCAGCAGCAGACTCGGAGGTATATAATGATCAAGCAAAAATTGACTGAGAGTTATTGTAGAAATAAACGTATGGAGTTGGAGATTAAATTTCACCTTTTGCTTCAAACAACACCCATGTAATTTAATTCAAAATTGCATATACATGTACTCTGTAATGGAGATCACTACTGTTACCCTGATACATTTGATGTGTAAGTTAATCATATGAAATGCTTTCCAACCCTGTCCCCAATGGATTTCTGGTATTGACATGATGTATGGATAGTAAAGTAAAAGATAACAGGTAAAGCCTCTAATGAGGCAAAATTGGTAATAACACATCAACAGCATTCCTTAAAAAAACAATGAAGAGACAAATAACATACCAGGGTTTCAAATTATTGTGTGTCTGAGGTCAGGGACCTGGGAAGGGGCTTTTCAATTTTTATGCCCACCTAGGGGCATTATGTTTTTCTGTCTGTGCGTCCGTTCGTCCATCCGTCCGTCTGTCCCGCTTCAGGCTAAAGTTTTTGGTCAAGGTAGTTTTTGATGAAGTTGAAGTTCAATCAACTTGAAACATGTTCCCTATGATATGATCTTTCTAATTTTAATGCCAAATTAGAGTTTTGACCCCAATTCCACTGAACATAGAAAATGATAGTGCAAGTGGGGCATCCGCATACTATGGACACATTCTTGTTAATTTCAAAAGTGAAGGACCTCCCATTATTAACACTGCTGCTGTATTCAGGACCTTTGACTTTCTTAAGGAGGACCTTTCACTTGAGAATTCAAATGGTCTTGGACCTTTCTTTATAAAAAGCAAATCTGAATACCTGCAGGAAACATTCCTTAGTTGTATATTATAGTGCCAAAGTAACATAATGAAATAGAATTAGTTCTGAGTAAATATTCCATTTATAACTTTGTTTTTATCATACATACTTAATAGATTTTTATACGCCCGTCAAATTTTTGACGGGACGTATTATGTTATACAAATGTCTGGCGTCCGTCCGTCTGTCTGTCCGTCTGTCTGTCCCTCTGTCTGTCTGTCCGTCTGCCTGTCTGTCCGTCTGTCTGTCCGGCGTAAACATGTCGCACCGTAACTTGAGAATGACTTATCCAAATTTCATGAAACTTAACATAGTTGTTTCTTATGATGGTCAAACGGTCTGTATACTTTTTGGTGAAAATAAGATTAAAACTTTTTGAGTTACGGGACTTAGTAACTAAAACAGGTGTGTGTTTTTTTTCACATGTCGCGCCGTATCTCAAAAACAATTTATGATTATTGCTTAAAACTTTACAATCTTCTTAGTTATATTAATCTTAAGATCTGTATACTTTTTGGTGATGATTCAAAATTTTATTTTAGAGATATTGAGTATTTTGTTAAAAAAGGGGGAGGGGTTTTTCACATGTCGCGCCGTATCTCAAAAACAGTTTAAGTTTATTGCTTAAAACTTTACACACTTCTTAGTTATATTAAACTTAAGATCTGTATACTTTTTGGTGATGATTCAAAATTTTATTTTTGAGTTATTGAGTATTGTAAAAAAAGGGGGAGGGTTTTTTCACATGTCGCGCCGTATCTCTAAAACGATTTATGATTATTGCTTAAAATTTTACACACTTCTTAGTTATATTAATCTAAAGATCAATATTTTAGCGATATTGAGTTTTTTGTAAAAAAAAAAGGGGGTTTTCGCATGTCACACCGTATGTCAGAAACTATTTATGCTTATTGCATAAAAATTCACACACAAGACGACGGGCGTATCATGCGCTCATGGCGCAGCTGTTTATTTACTACTGTCCTCCAGATTTTGTTTTGATTTTGTATTAATTAGCAACTTATTTTTGTAGATTCTGGAAGCATATAGAAAAGTGCAATTAGCTAAACAGAAGAAGAAGACTCCAACAAAGAAAGAAAGAGATTCTGTATGGAAAGCTCTGAAGGACAGAGAAAATATGGTTAAAATGATTGAAGGATCTGAGAAGTGAAATAAATTAATAGCATGCCAAGTAGACATTTACTGTGTATATTGTATGACATTGGTGAAATTGTATGGGAATATTTGATTCAGTTGCAATATTTTGGATATTTAAACAAAAAGTAACAGCAAACAAAACAGTTTGGAAGTGTTGTGCTTTGAATAATAATACATAATAAATTCTCAGGATTATCACTTATTAACTAGACTATCAACAGAAGATACATTCACAGACAAAAATAAATTAATAATTGAATGCCTTAAATACTCTTTCAGAAAATACCTCCTTTTAATGATACAGTTGGTATTAAGAATAACGTAAGTTTTGTAATGACCAGATTTCATGTACATAAAAAGGCAATTATTCTTGTGAATTATGAGTGTTAATATTATTTTGTATTTAAGACTTCATCAAACTGAAGCTTAAGTAATTCTGATAGTTTCAGTCTTTTAAAGTTATAATTGTACTTAATATTATTCATCATTCAGTGTATTATATAAGCATCTCATAAACGACATAATATCATTTTTTCTTTCATACTGAATATTAAACCCATTTCTTTCCATACTTTTGCATGATGTCTGTCTAAAATCATAGATGCCAAATTTACAACAATCTAAGTACTTCTCTGCATTGGCCTTCATCAGAAATGCTCAAAGCCAAAAATTGCAGTTTAAGCAATAATTTAGAAAAGTATCAGCATTGAAAATATTTCCTTAGAAGGTTACAAAGATGCATTTGCCACATGCATAAAGGCATGCATACCAATCATGGATTTAGATTTTTTTTAAATGAGGGGAATGAGGGTAGGGGTTCCACCTAGAAAAAGGGTTCCACACTAACTTTTACTTGATTACATAAAAATCCTAAATTCTTCTAGGTCTGCCAATGCTTACCATTATAGAACACTAGATCACCAAAAAGAAAAGAATGTAAGTGCAAAAATAATGTCATAAATTATAGTAAACTTCATCTTATTTTACAATCTTAAGAAACTCTATCTGATAATTAGATTGGAGTGAAATGTCATCATCAGAACAGAATTATCATATTCTGTTGATATCAAACATTTTTGATACTCATAGTTGTAACCTTCAGCCGTAACATGGCCTTGTGATATCTTTAATCGTTGTTTTGGCAGAGATTTGATAAGGACAGAGGAAATATATTATCTGAAAAGTTTTGTTAAATTATTTATATCAGTATTCAAACTTCCTATATAGATCAGTTTAAAATGTTTCCTTATATTTGTATGCTTGTTTGTAATATGTAGTTAACATTGTTTTATATATGTTGTGTAATTACTTTGTTTACAGAAGTATTTAGATGTATCAACAAATAAATAAAAAAATAATAATTCTGTTTAGTTTATATATTATGATTTAAAGCATGTATATAATTTCATGGAAAGAACAAAATTAAATAATTCATATTTTTTTTTCAAATACATGTCAGGTTTTATAATACATAAAAAGGGCTAACAGGAATTTCCAAAAATAATACAAGATAAAACCATCTACATCAACCACAAATGTCTGACTCCTTCCAAAAATAATACAGGATAAAACCATCTACATCAACCACGAATGCCTGACTCCTTCCAAAAATAATACACGATAAAACCATCTACATCAACCACGAATGTCTGACTCCTTCCAAAAATAATACACGGTTAAACCATCTACATCAAGTACCAATGTCTGACTCCTTCAGAAAATAATACACAGTAAAACCATCTACATCAACCACGAATGCCTGACTCTTTCCAAAAATAATACACGGTAAAACCATCTACATCAACCACGAATGCCTGACTCCTTCCAAAAATAATACACCCTAAAACCATCTACATCAACCACGAATGTCTGACTCCTTCCAAAAATAATACACAGTAAAACCATCTACATCAACCACGAATGTCTGACTCCTTCCAAAAATAATACATGGTAAAACCATCAACATCAACCACGAATGCCTGACTCCTTCCAAAAATAATACACGGTAAAACCATCTATATCAACCACGAATGCCTGACTCCTTCCAAAAATAATACACTGTAAAACCATCTACATCAACCACGAATGCCTGACTCCTTCCAAAAATAATACACGGTAAAACCATCTACATCAACCACGAATGCCTGACTCCTTCCAAAAATAATACACGGTAAAACCATCTACATCAACCACGAATGCCTAACTCCTTCCAAAAAAAAAGCCACAAACATACAAACAACACATAGTTCATATAGCCATCCTTGACACTCAAAGATTGTGTTTCATGCTTCATTTTTTTTTATTTATTTCAGCAGTTTGCCTAATTCTGCAGCTAAATACATAAAATAAGTATAGATTTCATATAGATCTTCATTGTAATAAACCAGCAACCAAGCACAACATGAAATATTTTTGGCAAGTGAATACAGTGAACTGAGGCTAAATATGTTCGTATTGTTTAAATCTCATAAATTGTACAATTTCTATATCCCTAGTCACACTAGCGATTCTCATCACACGACATTAATTATTCATCCGGTTGACTAATTTATAGAGTAATAGAGATGTTGCTGTCTAAAGTTCTTATGCTGCTCAATTAACCATTAAAATGATGTCGAAGTCAATGAATCCCTGACAGATTGACATTGTGCCAATATAATGAGTCAAGCCCTTTGAAACTGATTTTTTACAGTTTGTTCTTATGTTATACTATTACACCATTGTTTCTTGGTTAGAGGAGGATTGAACACTCACAAACATGTTTAACCCAGCCACTGAAGTCAGGAGCCTGTTATTCTGTGGTTGCCTTTGGTTCTTGTCTAATATTAATTTATTATTTTGTTATAAATCAGGCTGTTGTTTTTCTAGTTTGAATTGTTTCACATTTTATCATGTAAGGGCCTTTTAAAGCCGACTATACAGTATGGGTTTCGCTTATTGTTGAAGACTATGGTGACCTATAATTGCTTAAATCCACGTTATTTGGACTTGGTTTGATTGTTGTCTTATTTCAAATCATACGATCTCCTTATTTTACATATATATGTACAAATTGTGATGTTCTGTAGATCAAATATAGTAATTAAGAATTACTGAATAATGTTGAAAGTCATCAGTGGTTTGACCATACATACATGATCACAGTGGTGTGACCATACATGCATGATCACAGTGGTGTGACCATACATACATGATCACAGTGGTGTGACCATACATGTATGATTACAGTGGTGTGACCATACATGCATGGTCACAGAACATATGGTCAAAGTAGAGTGTGTGTTGTCAAAGGAAAGCCTTTTTCAGAATAAAAGTAATGACAACACTGGAGTAACATTGCATGATCTAAGCCTTTCCATTTTCCAGATTTCTTAATAAACTCTTAATCTAAATAATACTCTGTTCAGAGTACATGAATCTCTCGCGCAACGCATTGCATGAACATAGAAATAGCGGGCATCCTTCTGTTAATTATCCCTCGCGCAACTCGTTGCGAGGACATAGAAATAATGGGCGTCCTTCTGTCTGTCCATCCGGTCTTATGAGCGCTCTCGCATGTACAATTCTTGTCAGATTTATATGAAATTTATATTAAAGGTTTATATCATCAATGACTTTGACAAGTTCGAAAATCAGTGCTGATCAATTATTTTTAAAAGAGTTATGAAACTTATATCATAGGTTTATATCAGCAATGTCTTTGACCCTTTTGAAAATAAGTGCTGATCAAATATTTTTAACAAGTTATGCTCCTTGGAAATTTAAATTATAACGAAAATTGCATTGCATTTGCTCTGAAGCCTTCATTTCTCTAAGATATTTATAAAAAGTTTGAAAGAACAAAAAAAAGAAGTTTTTTTTTAGTTATATTGCCATCGTACCTTGGATAGATAAAATATGTGCAACTCGGGGGACATTTGAACTCTGTTCTTTTATTTATCTTTGGTGCTAGTGGAAATCAGTTGCATCACAACTATTGAACCCCATTGCAGTTTTTGTCTTTTTATATAAGGTAATGTCTATGTCTGATAAATAAACTTACATAATGAACAAGATTCTGTGAAAATTTCATTGAAATTCAGTGGTGTATAAGGCATTATAAATGATAAAAGAAGACTACTTTTAGTAATGGCAAATTCCATGTTTTGCTATTTGAAACATCATTTGGATAAAAAAAAATAAGTGCACCATGAAATTATATAAAAAATACATTACTTGTATTTGTAATAAAATTTACATCAATGGTTAAGACTTGCAATATGCAATCTTGGAAGAGTTCAAAAATAATCGTTGATATATCATTAAAGAAATAATTCATGGGGGCTTCAATTTAAATTGATTTGGCCGTTTATGCTAAATATTTTTCTACAAGAGATAGCAAGGGGTAAAATATCCTCATAAATGGCCAACCCGTGGTAAAATTAATATAAATTCATGCCCCATGAATCATTTCAATTCTAATAGGAAACAAGAGGCTCTCAAGAGCCTAAATCGCTCACCTGTATTTCAGAGGAGAAGATTTTTAAATGTAAGCAAACTTTATGAATAAATTGTGTAAAATTGTCTTTAAAGGGCAACAACTCCTTAAGGGGTAAATTGACAATTCTGGTCATGTTAACTTTTTTGTAGATCTTACTTTGCTGAACATTATTGCTGCTTACAGTTTATATATATCTATAATAATATTCAAAATAATAACAAAAAACTGCAAAATTTTGTTAAAACTACCAATTCGGTGGCAGCAACCCAACAATGGGTTGTTCGATTCGTCTGATAATTTCTGGGCCAATAGATCTTGACCAATTAAACAATTTTACCCCATGTCACATTTCCTCTAAAAGATTTAGTTTTTGTCGAGCCTGCGACTTTTGTCGCAGAAAGCTCGACATAGGGATAGCGATCCGGCGGCGGCGGCGGCGTTAGCTAACTTCTTAAAAGCTTTATATTTTAGAAGGTGGAAGGTCTGGATGCTTCATACTTTGTATATGGATGCCTCATGTTACGAAGTTTCCGTCAGTCACATGTCCAATGTCCTTGACCTCATTTTTATGGTTCAGTGACTACTTGAAAAAAAAGTTAAGATTTTTTGTAATGTTAGATTCTCTCTTATTATAAGTAATAAGATAACTATATTTGGTATGTGCGTACCTTGCAAGGTCCTCATGCCCGTCAGACAGTTTTCACTTGACCTCGACCTCATTTCATGGATCAGTGAACAAGGTTAAGTTTTGGTGGTCAAGTCCATATCTCAGATACTATGAGCAATAGGTCTAGTATATTTGGTGTATGGAAGGACTGTAAGGTGTACATGTCCAACTGGCAGGTGTCATCTGACCTTGACCTCATTTTCATGGTTCAGTGGTTATAGTTAAGTTTTTGTGTTTTGGTCTGTTTTTCTTATACTGTATGCCATAGGTCTACTATATTTGGTGTATGGAATGATTGTAAGGTGTACATGTCTAGCGGGCAGGTGTCATTTGACCGTGACCTCATTTTCATGGTTCAGTGGTCAAAGTTAAGTTTTTGAGTTTTGGTCTTTTTTTCTAATACTATGTGCAATAGTTCAACTATATTTGGTATGTGCGTACCTTGCAAGGTCCTCATGCCCGTCAGACAGTTTTCACTTGACCTCGACCTCATTTCATGGATCAATGAACAAGGTTAAGTTTTGGTGGTCAAGTCCATATCTCAGATACTATAAGCAATAGGTCTAGTATATTCGGTGTATGGAAGGACTGTAAGGTGTACATGTCCAACTGGCAGGTGTCATCTGACCTTGGCCTCATTTTCATGGTTCAGTGGTTATAGTTAAGTTTTTGTGTTTTGGTCTGTATTTCTTATACTGTATGCCATAGGTCTACTATATTTGGTGTATGGAATGATTGTAAGGTGTACATGTCTAGCGGACAGGTGTCATCTGACCTTGACCTCATTTTCATGGTTCAGTGGTCAAAGTTAAGTTTTTGAGTTTTGGTCTTTTTTTCTAATACTATGTGCAATAGTTCAACTATATTTGGTATGTGCGTACCTTGCAAGGTCCTCATGCCCGTCAGACAGTTTTCACTTGACCTCGACCTCATTTCATGGATCAATGAACAAGGTTAAGTTTTGGTGGTCAAGTCCATATCTCAGATACTATAAGCAATAGGTCTAGTATATTTGGTGTATGGAAGGACTGTAAGGTGTACATGTCCAACTGGCAGGTGTCATCTGACCTTGACCTCATTTTCATGGTTCAGTGGTTATAGTTAAGTTTTTGTGTTTTGGTCTGTTTTTCTTATACTGTATGCCATAGGTCTACTATATTTGGTGTATGGAATGATTGTAAGGTGTACATGTCTAGCGGGCAGGTGTCATCTGACCTTGACCTTATTTTCATGGTTCAGTGGTCAAAGTTAAGTTTTTGAGTTTTGGTCTTTTTTTCTAATACTATGTGCAATAGTTCAACTATATTTGGTATGTGCGTACCTTGCAAGGTCCTAATGCCCGTCAGACAGTTTTCACTTGACCTCGATCTCATTTCATGGATCAATGAACAAGGTTAAGTTTTGGTGGTCAAGTCCATATCTCAGATACTATAAGCAATAGGTCTAGTATATTTGGTGTATGGAAGGACTAAGGTGTACATGTCCAACTGGCAGGTGTCATCTGACCTTCACCTCATTTTCATGGTTCAGTGGTTATAGTTAAGTTTTTGTGTTTTGGTCTGTTTTTCTTATACTATATGCAATAGTTCAACTATATTTGGTGTATGGAAATATTTTATGATCTATTTGGCAGTCACGCAGGTTTTATTTGACCTTGACCTCATTTTCAAGGTTCATTGCTCAGTGTTAAGTTTTTGTGTTTTGGTCTGTTTTTCTTAAACTATAAGCAATAGGTCAACTCTATTTGTTGTATGGAAGAATTGTTAGCTGTACATGCCTGCCTAGCATGGTTCATCTGACCTTGACCTCATTTTCATGGTTCATTGGTCAATGTTTAGTTTACTTGGTTAATGTTAAGTTTATGTGACAGTTGTAATTAAGCTTTATATTTAGGACTATCAACATAATATCAATGATTAGTAAAGAAGGCGAGACATTTCAGCGTGTGCACTCTTGTTGAGATATAAGTCAAAAACTGCATTTGACCCTTATGTTCTATTTTTAGCCAGGGCAGCCATGTTTGTCGATGGATACAAACTTCGGATACAATTTTAAACAAGATACCCTAAGGAACATTTATTTAAAGTTTGAAGGTAATTGGCCCAGTAGTTTCAGAGGAGAGGATTTTTAAAGGCAGTGCTTTAATGCCTTTCTAGTTGCCGGGTTAATCCTTCCTTCCGCGATATCCAACTTATCTACGTGGGGGGTCATTAGACTCCAAGTAGATCCGGAAATGTTGAATTCTCTCCTCCTCTTATTGCGATATAAAATGTTTTTTGTTTCATTTCATTTACATTGGGAAATAGAGAAACGATCATTGTGTTTTGTTAGTTTTAAAAACTTTTGATATATTAGTATTTTGCATTATAAGCAGTCAACCGATTGACAAACTAGAATTATTTGAATTCCGTGTGGAAAGAGCTCGGGTTAATTTCGAGTGTTATCTGCAATCTAGATGTTTATAAATCATTTCAGTCGTTGATATAATAATTAAAGGTCGACTGAACATGAATTATATTATACAATTTAAAGCGCATTTCTGTTTATGCACGTGAACCCGTCTAACGTTATTTTCGCAGTTATATAAAGTAGCAAATTATCGTTCCTGAATAGGTGGCGCCGTGGTAGCGGAACCTGTTCCTCTTCTTCCGGTTTCTGCACTGTGCAACTATTTCAGTTATATTTTTAATTAACGATGCCAAATACTTGTTGTTGTGTACCTGGATGTCATTTAAGAGGAGGACATGCATTTCCAAATGACTTAAAAAGAAGGAAAAGTTGGATCAACGCCATGGCCCATACGCAGATTGGACGAGAACACGATGATATCGTGGAGTCCATCTCAATCAGCTGTTGTTTGCAAGGCACGTTTTACTGAAAAAGACTACTTGCAGGAAACTATTCATGGTAAAACTCTATTTTCTTTGTGAAATATATAGTAATATATGTTATCGCCATGCGAATAAACCAAAGTCTGTTTACAACAATTATCGTTTTAGAATAAAAGGGGGTGGGTAATTCAAGACGTCATAATTTTTTGGATTACGATTCAATGTGATCTGTTTGAGATTTTTTGGTGATTGCTACAATTATAATGATTTCTTACAAGAGGTATATCATACTGAGAATTATTTTAGCAGTAATTATGCTAATGTAGTAATGACAGGAATGCATAAGCTATGCCTCATAGACTTTCTTGAAAAATATCAATGACAATGTTAACAGGAACAAAACAATGACACGCTCTCATCTATATTATAGTTATTTAGGTACAAACAATGTACGTTTGTTGCATAAGTCTCTCATTGTTTGTCCTTTGGATTTACATAACATACATTGAATCAGGCAAACATAGTTTTATCCAGATTGTAATGAATAAATCTAGTTAATATTTCGCCAGGTAGTACAAAGTATACATTGCTAATGGAAGTTCATTTAATTATAAAAAAACTAATGTTTTATAACCTTTTTCAGGGCGCAAACCCCCCATACAGAGACTTAAGTCTACTGCAATTCCCAGCCTATTTTCCTGGACCAAGCAAGAGACTGAATCGTCCGCAAAAAGAAAAATCAGGGCAGTTTCCTGTGAAAACAAAAGAACTAAACTTGATGAATATTGTAGTAGAAATCTAGAGGAAAGTTTTGATTGTAAAGTTGGTTTTCCTGAAGAAGTCATTCATACTGCAGAAAGGATTTATGACTGTCCACCACCAACTGCCGAGCTAATGTTGAGCTTCACAGATGGAATAACGCAAACACCATCAATGCCTATGTTTTCAGCAGAGAATTTTGAAATGAAGACACGTGACACAGCCATGCATTTTTATACCGGTTTAGAGTTGTATACTAAATTTTTATTTGTTTTGACCACACTTGGTCCAGCAGCACATTGTTTGAGATACATATATTTCAAATTGATAGGGTGTCAGTTGAAAATCAGTTTTTTTATGACTTTGATGAAATTGAGGCATCATACAACCAACTTTGAACTGTCTAGATTCTAGATTGAATCTAGTGTTAAGAATATTGTGTATACATGGATTGTTTTTATGTCTAAACAGTGGTGTGAGGCTAACACTTGGCCATCTAGTGGTTTAGTCAGGTATTTTTCACCATCCAACTTCAAATTAAAGTTTCCTACGACTTGGATTATTATTGACAGCACAGATTATCCCGTGATAAAACCTAAAGCTCCTAGAGCTCAGGCAACCTTTTCATCAAATAAAAACAGAAACACTGAAAATTCTTGAATGTTCGACACCTGGTGATTTAGTCAACTATGTCTCTATGTCACATAGAGCAAATTATTGGACTTGGCAAAACATACAAAATTCTAATAAATCCTATGAATGGAACTGAAACAAAACTTTCATCTGAAATAACATTTAGTTGTTTTATGTTGTGTAATTTTAGAACTTGTATTGTACCAAAGGATGCATAAATAAAAGTGATGCAATGAATTTTGTTCTGATATATATATATTTACAATTACATGCACATGTAAATTGTAATGCATATAAAAATAAGGAGATGTGGTATGATATTCAGTGAGTTTATCAAACTAAAGTGCATAAGAAATGGGTTTAAGCAGTTACAGGTGTTACTGTCACCGTACTATCTCCAACAATGAGAAAAACTCGTACCGTGTAAAAAAATTCAGAGATCTTACAACTAAGTTTTGTTGTCTCACCTTGACTTTGGTGAATTTTTTATATCTGTTGATGTAAATATAAAAAAGAAGATGTAGTATGATTGCCAATGAGACAACTCTCCACACATGCACAAGAGACCAAATGACACAGAAATTAACAGCTATAGGTCACAGTACGGCCTTCAACAATGAGCAAAGCCCATACCGCACAGTCAGCTATAAAAGGCCCAGAAATGACAATGTAAATCAATTCAAACAAGAAAACTAACGGCCTATTTTATGTAAAAAAATGAACAAATATAACAAATATGCAACACATAAACAAACGACAACCACTGAATTACACTTTTGTAGGCTGCTGACTTGGGACAGGCACATACATGTACATACAGAATGTGGCCGGCTTAAACATGTTAGCGGGATCCCAACCCTCCCCCTAACCTGGGACAGTGGTGTAACAGTACAATATAAGAAAGAACTATAAAAATCAGTTGAAAGAGGCTAAACTCATCAGATGGATAAATACAAATACAAGTGGACGTGGTCAGGTAGTTGTACATCCAAACAACAAAAAGACACTAAGTACAAATCTGAGAGTACTCGCAGTTACTGACAGCTAGTTCAAAGCCACTAACAACTGATAAAAAAATCTTGCATCTAAGACTAAATTATCAATCCGTAAGCTCCCTTTAGAATTTTATAAATTTTAGATTTTACATTTCTGAGTTAAGGGGTTTTATTCATTAAAAAAGGTGGGAATTTCCAGTTTTTGGACAACAACTCAAAAATGCTTTAAGCAGTTCACATGAAACTTTGGTGAATTATTTATAGCTATTGATGTAATCTCCCTATTGATTTTCATAAATTTCAAATATGACATTGAGAAGAAATTGAACTTTATTTGTTTATAGTCTGGCAACAGATTTATTAAGTATTGCACAACAGCACAGTGTATTGCACAACAGCACAGTGTATTGCACAACAGCAAGAAATCTTTAATTGAATATAAATTCAATTCATATAACCGATTTCAAGTTCATTGACTACATTTATTCAGAAACTATAATATGTCAAATATTTAATTGCAATCCAAATTCAGACCTGTATCAAGCTTGAATATTGTGTCCATTTTTGCCCCAGCTGTTCAGGGTAGTACCTCTGCGGGTGTATCCAGCTGCGCTCAGCGAATCAGTTTATTTCTTAATTAGGAACTCCTTTTTATACCACCGCAAACAAATTTTTGTGGTCGTATATTGGTATGACGTTGGCGTCGTCGTCGTCCGAAGACACATTAGTTTTCGCACTCTAACTTTAGTTTAAGTGAATGGATCTCAATGAAATTTTGAAATAAGGTTCAATACCACAAAGGGAAAGTGGGGATTGATTTTGGGGGTTATGGTACCAACAGTTAAGGAATTAGGGGCCAAAAAGGGGCCAAAAATAAGCATTTTTGTAACTTCCAGACATAACTTGTGTGTAAGTGTATGGATCTCTCTGACATTGTACCACAAGGTTCCATATCACAAAGGGAATGCTGGGATTGATTTTTGGGGGTGATTGCCTCCAAATTTTAGGAATTAGGGGTCAAAAAGGGGCAAAAAACAAGCATTTTTCTAGTTTCATGACAATAACTTGTGTGCAAGTCTATGGATCTCTCTGACATTGTATCACAAGGTTCCATATCACAAAGGGAATGCTGGGATTGAATTTGGGGGTAATTGCCTCCAAATTTTAGGAATTAGGGGCCAAAAAGGGGCAAAAAACAAGCATTTTCTAGTTTCATGGCAATAACTTGTGTGTAAGTGTATGGATCTTTATGAAATTGTACTACAAGGTTCCATATCACAAAGGGAAAGCTGGAATTGAGTTTGGGGGTAATTGCCCAAAAAGTTTAGGAATAAGGGGCCAAAAATAAGCATTTTTCTAGTTTCCAGACAATAACTTGTGCTCAAGTGTATGGATCTCTCTGAAATTGTACTGCAAGGTACCATACCACAAAGGGAATGCTGGGATTGATTTTGGGGGTAATTGCCTCCAAATTTTAGGAATTAGGGGCCAAAAAGGGGCAAAAAACAAGCATTTTTCTAGTTTCATAACAATAACTTGTGTGTAAGTCTATGGATCTCTCTGACATTGTATCACATGGTTCCATATCACAAAGGGAATGCTGGGATTGATTTTGGGGGTAATTGCCTCCAAATTTTAGGAATTAGGGGCCAAAAAGGGGCAAAAAACAAGCATTTTTCTAGTTTCATGGCAATAACTTGTGTGTAAGTGTATGGATCTTTATGAAATTGTACTACAAGGT